TAGGTTGTCGAATCGTTGTGGGGTTTCATGTTCGTGCGTGATATCAGTCTCCCTCTCCCCTTCCCTCATAGATAAACTCTTAGATGCTCCACTGGTTGATAGGTGTGTTTTATCGTCACTAGTTAAGCCAGTTCGAGGTAAATATAATGTACGCATCTGTGTGAATATGGGCAACTGAAGGATGTTATATAATTTAGATGGGACAAGCTAGTGTTTACCTCAACAGTGACGTAGCTGAAACATAATTAACTTGGAGAACGCATAGCCAACAGTGCCAGGAGAAGCTGTCATGCCAAGGTCGTGGGTGGTTGTTTTTGCCGGGAAATTTGCCCTTGTACACAGCAGGGGGGAAGAGAGAGGCAGTACACAGTGGATAATTTCGGGGGGGAAATTATCGTGTTCTATTAATTTCTAAGCAGCGAAAATGTTGCCTCTGTACTTGGAAAGCAAAATTTTCATAATTTACTCGGAGTTTATGAAGGACACATTAAATAACTGCTATAGGGAGACTAATGCACTGTATGGTGAGGTAATGTGTCCCACCAATCTCTGTTTACAACCCAGTGTGGCCGTAGAACTCAACCAGTCAAGCAATTGTTTTTTCTTTGCGCCTGAAAAAAAAATGGCAGAACTGATAATTTGGGGAAAATAATTCGATTTTTGTCCATCAAACAAATAGCTCTTGATTCGCTAAAGGGAGGTACAACACTGTTTCCTTGATACATAGGATCCGGCTTTTCAGAAATTCGTACTTAACACTTTTCTCAAAACTGAAGCAACACATTCAACTGACTCATAACTTATGGTCAACCTTGCGTGGGGGACAATAATGAGTAATGGATCAGTTCGGGTAGAGGCGTTACTACATACACTCAAGCTTAGATATTGTACGTATCTTGATCTGCTCAATGCTTGTCTAGGTATCTCTTGAATGTTAACACGATGTACGGTAACAAATCTAGGGTTCAGATTACATAACGTTCATATATGGATTTTGATCTCGTAGTTAAAGATGTAAGAACGCAGCTGACTGACTGATATACTTTAAAACAGATATTACGCCCATAGGTACAGACGTTCACATAGTACCAGCCAGGGGACACTACTTACAGAATCTTTGTGGATCCAAACAGAGATGAGACAGAGGGATGATAGAAAGTAATTTTATTTTAGCAATGTCGTTGACAGTATGACTCAGTGCACCCTAACTCGAGTTGCTCATCTTCGCCTCCGTCGCACTACCACACACACTACGTTTTTTAAATACCCGTATCTGCCCACGGCGCGTTTCACAGGCTGTCAGGCACAGATACGGGAAGTGTCTGGTTTGAGATGACAGTCACCGTGATAATACATCGCGTTCGTTTACGAATTATAGAAACTTTTTGTCGGATGGGAGTAATCATAATATATTTACCAACTTTTCTCTCTAATAATTCTCTGCCTAAAATGTAGTAAAAAAAAAGGCTCATTGCTGTTTACAGAATAACGTCACAGATGTAACCTCAAAGGCACAAATATCGTACAAACGGAGCAGAAAAATAAGACGCGTTAAAAGACATGAGAGAGCATAAGAAAATAGAAGAAAACAGGAAAAACAGGTTGTGAAAATATCTTTGTTAAATATATAAATGAATAAGATGACTTTGTCAATAAAAACCTTGGTCATCAGAATTATTTCTTAACAATTGAATAGCTTTTGAAAACATCTTTGATGACCACACAAAGATGCGCGTTTGAGTTTCACCACAACAAACCTAAGATGCTATTGTTACTTCATACAGTATTTGTGTTTTTATTGTCAAAGTTAAAGGTTAAAATTTATATCTGCTTAACCAAGAGATTACTACCTCTGGATCCAAATATATTGTACATCTTATTACGGCAGACACAGAATAATGCAGACGTAGAATAATGCAGACGTAGGATAATGCAGACGTAGAATAATGCACAGAATTTGTTTAATGACTAAAATTCAAGGCCGTCTGTCTACCGTCGATATGATGGACAAAGTATATAACCCTGACTTATGTGTTTGTGTTTACATTTGTGTATGCGCGTGCTTACGTAGGTTATAACTACTTGTGAGTATAAATGGCCATGTTTGTGTTTCTGTGTTTTATATGAGTACATTTGAGTTCTTATGATTTAATGTTTATGAATGTATTTGTAAATGCACGTAGTGTGTGTGTGTGTGTGTGTAAACTGTAAACGTACGTGTGTCTGTGGGGGTGCGCCGAGTAAACCACCTCACACCGGTTCCTGCTGTAGTATGCCAACATCCCAGTAAGCGACTACGTGCGCTACAAAAGTACAGTCAACCCACCGTATATACAAGCGTTGACTCACTCAGAGGTCGCGTTGAAGTGCAGCCATTGCCACTCATGTCAACAAGATCAAGGACTCGGAGCTGTTTTTGCTCACACTGATAAACAAATTACTAATAAAAAAGGGGGAGCGTCATTTTGTTTATATCGCGGACAGCATCCTTCAAGTGATCACTACACGCATCTCTAGTGGGTGGCTTAGTTAGAATTGGGCATATTTTTTTGTACAATACGACCATATCTAGGTTACGGCACCACTTTTTTTTTTACATCCTATACTAGATTAGGTTTTTTGGGTTCATGTATAGAATCAAAGTTAAGGTGCTTTAGAAATGCAGATTAAAGTACATTACCGTCATGTCTAGTTTAAGGCATCACCTTTACGTGTACAGTATATGACTAGACTGGACAGGGTTTGGGTACATTACTGCTACAGGTTAAAGCACATGTATTATACTGTCACCTTATATAGATTACTGTACTTGGATCTACTGTAGATTCATTAAAATGTTCAGGTGACAATATTCCCCTAATTGGAGACGTCACAACAACTGGTTTATTTAAGTTTCGACACAGATATAGAGCGAAGGTGGCATAAAGGCTGCCCTAAGACTTTATGCTTAAAGGTAATATATATATAATATATATATATATATATATATATATATATATATATATATATATATATATATATATATATATATAATAATAATAATAATAATAATAATAAATAATTAGTTTTATTTAGGTGCAAATCTACGGTCATCACAATCCATTTCCACGTATACCTCCTGTGTGAGCCTTTTTATAACGGACTCCTGTTCTTTGACTTTCGGTATTTTAGATCACTAGTTTATTTTTGTGCCTTAACAATAAACATGCCAATGAAAACCTTTTGTCAGTATCACTTGGACGCTTATTGCGCCTGGTTGTTTAAAGAGAAGCTTATTCTTAAGCTGTCGCTTCAAGAGCTCAACATTGGCATGATAATGTATGGAGGCTGTATATGTATAGGAAGTCCTTCTGTATATGTATAGGAAGTCCTTCTGTATATGTATAGGAAGTCCTTCTGTATATGTATAGGAAGTCCGTTAAATGTGAAACCCTCCCATGAAGCTTCTGTTAACCAACAAGATTGATAGACTTAAGAAGACATTATATACTATGCATAGAAAGAAGATGAACAGTAAATGGATACATGTAGATATACCAGCCAAGGTCAGTAAAATAAACAGATTGATGGATGAGACAGCTATAAGGCTAGACCAGCGAGTGGAGTCATAGTAACACAGCGTCTTAGAAGAAACTTTACTTTTACTTTTATCCTCTTCACCACTGATCAGCTCGTTAGCCGCTTGGGCGATCGTTTACGTCTGTTGGCAAGTACTGGGCATGCACTGGCTCCTGAATGTATCTGAACCTGCTCCATTGTTGGTCAGGTCTGGTCTTGAAAGAGCTCACACTCGGTGCCTTCACCACACTCTCTGGCAGATTGTTCCAAGAGTTCACAACTCTCACTCCGAAAAATTTACCCTTCACAGTTATCGGGACTTGCGGCTTCTTTAACCTTGAGCTGTGTCCTCTTGTGGGGCGAGCGTCTGCCAGCTCCAGGTAAGGACACTAGACTGAGTAGTGCCCTCTGAGATGCTTGTACACCTCAGTCAGATCTCCCCTCGCCCGTCTGTAGTACAAGCTAGGCAAGTTCAGGCGCTTCAGTCTCTCCGAGTAGCTGAGGGGCCGCAGTGCATGCACCAATATGGTGGCCCTTTGTGTTTCTAGTATTAACACAACTGCTTGAACAACATCTAGCGGCATCGACTTGTTTGCTTGTTGTTCAATTGTGAATTGAGGCCGGATTCAGATAGTCATCCGAGACCTCTTATTCTGTAACTTATTTTCTGTCATCATTTATCTCTAATTTTTGTCTATTTATCTATAAATATATTTAATGTCAATCTTCGTTTTTTTCTAATTCGTCTTAATGTCTTTCTCTGGTAATTTTTCCTTGTTTTCTGTCTACATATCAATCTCTATTAACTTTGTTATCTCTACTTTTACCTTATTATCTATACTTTAATTATCTCACTCTCTCTTTCCTTTCCTCACATCTCGAGGTAAGACTGTAATTAAACATCGACCTTACGTTTAATCTCAACCTTACCCAGTATCGTGAGTATTAATTATTAGGCCTCATTGGAATGCAAGTTTATTATTTGTACCAAATGGAGATGGGAGAACATATTTAATCGACTTAAATTAGATACGACTTGTGTAGATTCTTCGAGGTCCAGAGGTGTGGACAAGTAACGCATTTTTTTTCATTTAAGACAAGAATATTAATTTGGTTAACAAAAATGTCATCAAATTTGCACTGGGCATGTAGCTCAACTAGTATTTTTCTATTTTGGGTAAGGATGGAATTTGACGTATTCCTCGAGACAATATTGTTGAGGAACTGTTCTCTCTCTGGGTTTCACTTTCATCGACTTTGTGCTTTAAATAAGCGTGGGTGGTGTGTTTACTGAGTTGGCATGTGAGACAGTAGCTTCAACAGAGTTATATAGACATTCCGACTATTTTTCTTGGCATGTTTTGGCAGGATCCTGCTTGTGCCCTCCCACTCTCTGTAATTGAAATGCTTTACACTAGGGATACTGTATACAAAAGCAGAGCTAATGCTCTTAAAAACATTATATTTAACCGTTTCCATAATACAATACATTACAGAAATTTTGTCAACCTACTTTATCACTGCAATTATATACTGCACACACAAAATTGTGACCTGACAACGTGACCTGTACTCAAACTACACTTGCCTAATACACAGTGGAAATTACAAATCAACCCAGGGTGTCCATCACTTGGGCCTGGCATCAGGTATATCAGAAACAGGTTAAGACATGATATTTATATCTTCCCAGTCGGGATATTTATGAGCCAGTTGGGTTTCTACAAGAAGCCAGTGCTGATATGGTTAAACTACTGGTACTGGCTCACTCGAGATATTTATCACAATAAGGATTTAATCTATGCCCAAAGGACTCTCGAACCCAGCATGACAATCATTCCATCACCATACTTATGCTAAATCTATACAGTACAATAGTTTGCAAATTATTTAACATCCTAACGAGTTTGTATGAAATAGCTAATGCTGCACAAGCACCATTTATTGCAAATAGTACTATATACAGGTAGTCCTGTAATGTATATATGACAGTTGTTAGTTAAAAAATATATGATTTCTTGCTGTATTTTCTTCTCCATTATTCCACAGCTTGGATGTAATCAATTTCAAGTGAAGAACTGCCACTCTGCTTGAAGTCACTGTATACACCACCCACTATCTGCAGTATGGTAGAGGTAATGTCGGAGGTGTCCAAGGGCTCAGCACCAGGGACTTCAACCCCTCGGAAATAAGGTTTGAACTTGTTGAATTGTAACGTTACTACTGTCCATTCGTTCTTCGGGATCTGAAGAAAAAAAAAGACGATGTTATCATTAGAATTTAAACTATTTTCACCAAAACAATACAATATAACAATGTTATAGGTACAGCACAGTACTTGGACTGAGTTTATTGAATATAGAACAGAAGAAAAATGGATGCATCTTACTAACTATAACTGCATATATGAAGTACTGTATTATAAACTTCTCAAGCCCATTTCTATTTACTGTAGTACTGTATTAATGAAGGGGGAATTGTTGTTTGACCTCACATACAACAGTCCTCTTGAAGCAAATACTGTATCAATACTGTACAACTTATCTTCTACAAATTTAATGAACACCACCTTAGAATGTGAAATATTTTAATGATAAAAATGAAATGACAAAACCTGTGATTAGAAAATGAATTACTGTACATTACTTGCTATAAACTTTTCTTGCCTACATCTACAGCCAAGCAGACACTACAAAGATACATCGTGTATAATAATTTATCCTCTTAAATGAGTAGTTACTTCCTGTACTGTTCCCTTAATTACAACTCTCGCTCTTCAAAGATTGCTTAAAATGCAAAGAACACTCATACATTATCAGTCAAAGTTAGACCAACAAAACCATTTAAACTTGTACAGTACTGTACAGAACTTGGATGCCTCAGATTATAAGAATTTCACACACTATTTTCCTAGAGGAATGACAAAATTGATATGAATGATTTCCAATTGTTGTAACAGTTTCCTCCCCAGATAGCTGAATAAATTGCTAAGTAAAAGATAAAAGTGACACTAAGAAAACAGCATAATATAGAATTTTCACTAATACAGTACTGCATTAGGAACTCTGCACATTTTTGATAAGTAGTTCAGTTACAGTTCATCCCCTGTAGTTTGACTGAAGATTATAGAAAGATGATACTGTAATATAGTACAGTACTGTATTTAAGAGTAGATAGTGAATATCCACCATGTTTTATTATGAGATACAATAAGATTTACACACATAAAATACAGTAATGTATATAATTAGCAGTCAAGGGTACCACCCCTGATATTTACCCAAAGAATATATTTTATCCTCCATTTGTACAGTAACCATCCCATTAAGAATTATTTTTGAGGTGTATGAATGATAAACTTGAGGTTTTAGAAGACTACTCTTACCTCATAGAAAGCTTCATAGGATATACTTCCATCACCTTGCCCCTTGTGCTTGAAGTTGACCTTGTAAATGTAGTTTTCTCCCTGACCACGGACTTTCAACTCTATTCCAGAAAAATAGCTCAAGTTCCATTTATCGTGGTTAACAAACCCCACAAACCCAGCACCATTAGGCTGTGGGTTGATCATGGAGAACATCACTGCTCTCTGGAATAACTGTGATTTCTGGAAAGTTGAGAGAAATGCTTTAAAATTTATTAATTTACTGGGAAATTATCAAATATTACAGTACTGTAAATATAGTTTTATCAGTTCTAAAGAGAAACCCTTTTATATGAAGAAGATAATATTGCTGTGGTAGTTTTTCAACACAGAGATGAAAATACAGCATCCTTGACCACCGAAGGGTCAAGACGTACCTGGCGCTCCTCTCGGAGCAGCCAGGTCAACTGTTAAGTTGGCCCATACCAACCCCCTCCCCTGAACCCTCCTCCCCACCGGAATATCAACAAGTTCTCGCCAGAAGTTATAATTTCATTTAGGAAAGGAACGGAACCAGTGTTAAACAGAGGTGAACAGTGGTGGACAGTGCTTAAGTCAGTGAGAACAACTCAACAGTAACAGTCGTACCCAAGTTAACCTTCACACAGTGAGGTCCCAGGTACCCAGTGATAACGGCCCGTGAGACCCAACAACAACCAGCGATGTGTTAATCCGTCTACGATTGGAAGGCCTAAGACCAAACCTCACTCATATAACACCATCTGTGAGGGAATTACTACACCACATGTCCCTCATAACACCATATGTGAGGGAATTACTACACCACGTCAAGTCCCTCATCACACCATCTGTGAGGGAATTACTACACCACGTGAGGTCCCTCATAACACCATCTGTGAGGGAATTACTACACCACGTGAGGCCCCTCATAACACCATCTGTGAGGTAATTACTACACGTGAGGTCCCTCATAACACCATCTGTGAGGTAATTACTACACCACGTGAGGTCCCTCATAACACCATCTGTGAGGGAATTACTACACCACGTGAGGCCTCTCATAACACCATCTGCCAGGGAATTACTACACCACGCCAGGTCCCTCATAACACCATCTGAGGGAACTACTACACCACGTGAGTTCCTCCTAACACCATCTGGGAGGGAGTTACTACACTACAAGTTTATTGTTCAACACCTACATTAATCTGTATGTTCACTGTATGTTCCTTTACCTTTCTCTAATGAAGGCTTTTGTTAAACCACCAATGTATGTCTGACGTGTGTCTTGGATACCCACAAAATGTTCTATACTACTGAGGGTATACACAAACACTTGTTATCTTAAAAGTAGGTTCTATTCTCGTACGGGAGATATATATACAGTAGGACCCAGGAGCTCGCTTCAATACCACGAAGACTCTGTCTTCACTCTCTCTATGTATTACTGCGCGCTGGGATGTACAGATGCCAGCATTCACAAGCTGAATACATAAAGTATAAATATGATAATTTATATACATAACATAGTGCACAAAAAATGGAATATTACATAGAATTAATACATGTTCTGTAATACTTTACTATACATAATTAATGGAGTAATATAAGAGAAATATAATAATACACAGCTGAAGGTACTACTTTGTGTCCATATATATCATACAGTATGTAATAAGTCATTTATGTCCAATGTATATTTTCAGCCTTCGGGCTGCAGAATTTTTTCAATAAACCGTTAATTATTATTATTATTATTATATACTGTACTGTATTAGGCAAAGTAAAAATTAATAGTTCAGCTCCAGTGACATATTAGGTAGAGAAGATAATACAAGTAATTTTCTCTTCATGTATTAAAATAAATTACTGTAAAATATATGCTAAAATAAGTTTATAACGAACACTTATATAATAGTATATTACAGGGGTATTCAGGTATGCGATTCCTTCTTTCCTAAATTTATCTTTTACAATTTTGTTGCAATGTAAAGCACACTTTAGAGTGAAATTTGAGAATACAGTAATTAGAGAAATGTCTGAGTTTTGCCCTCTACCCAGGCAGATTCTATAACATAGTAGTACAGGGTAATACAAGACTACTGACTGGAAGTTGGTGTCCTCAAACAAACCCATAATGCTAGTCTATTTTAGATGCACTGATCACCATATTGTTTGCTATTAGAAGCTAGAGGTCTTATTCGAAACATATTAGTTCAATCAATATATAACACCCAAGGCTACTCTCAACCATTTGTCAGTCTAGGTCAGTCTACCATTTTCTACTTTAGTTCTTGGATGACCGTGTGAAATGACAGGTGTTTTAAGTCTTTAGTGGATATATACTAATCAGATGGGGAAAAAAAAAAACCTGAAACTTGGCCACAAAAAATTCTCATAGACCAGTTACATAATGACACTCCTGATAAGAAAGTTGACATGTGTAGTACTCTCACGTCTCTCCCATGACCGGCTCTTCACTCCTCTCCCCTCAGCTCTACATCACTACACAAAAAATACTAGAGACTGTGATTATAGATTATGGTTTGGTTAGGTTAGGGTTACTGGTACTTTGGCTAATTATTTTTTCTTCAAATTTATGTCTATTTGGTAAATCTAAATTTGAAAGAACATAAAACATTTAACATTATCATAGAAATAGAGAATTGGAGATTAATAAACACCTCAGTTTTAAGGGATATCAGTTTTTGTGGACAGAATTTCCCATATTATTAAATTTCACTTAAGTGTCTGTTGTATTTATTATTTACTTGCATATCCCACAGTGAATTCCATCTACTCTACTTTCTTGTTTTCCTTGTTTCTTTTATAGTATTAAAGAGATGTTACAAGGTTGGTAGGAAGTGCAGGAAGCTTTTTATAGGTAAGGTACTGTAATAATAATAATACAGGTTTACAATTACATAGGCATGTATATAAACTATGCAGGAATACAGTTCAGTGTGAATGTAGACAATGTGGGTATATAAGTATGGTGTGCAGTACAGTACTGTATACAACAATGGTAAACAGTTAAGCAATTAAACCAAGGATAGCCAGCAAAGCTGTCAGGTGGTTTTTTTCCAGGACGATTCTTTCTAATATTTGGAGACAATTTCAATGTCCCTTCATGAGGAAAAAAAAGCTGATTTCAATCAAAATACAGTACTGTACTGTATATGAGTATTAGAGTTCAGGGTACAGTATAATAATCTCAGTAGACCTCTGTAACAACATTCACTCAAAATCCTCCTACTTTATTGTTACAGTTTTATTTACATAACTATAATTAGTTCCAGATTACAGTATATTTCAATGGTTGTACTGCACTCACCTGAAGGACAAACGCTCCTTTTGACATTCCAGGTGTCCGAACAGTATCAGAGGACTCTTGCCAGTTTTCCAAGGAGGAGATTGTGCGAAAGTCATACAGCATTTTGCTCTCTGTACCACTGCTTGACAAGGTACTAATAAAAACAAAATTATTTCACAATATTGTAGTTTTAAAAGTTGTTGAGACAGTAGCTCACAATATCAGATGCATATTGTACCTTCCAATATTCTGTACAATACTGTACTGTACTGTATTATTCAGTTAACTCAAGGTTTGTACAATATTTTCTTGAATACCTTAATTTTACTTATACAAGTACAGTACAGTACAGTACTTTACAAATAATATTTTTAAACATATCTTAGAATACCCTGTATTGAAAGTCATAATATTCTCCTGTATACAAATCTTGACAGTCAATCACAACAGTACCCCAAAACTGGACAGTATTTCCAAAAGAACTTACCTGAAGGCAGTAGTTAGGCAAGACATGCTGAAGCCAGTCGAGGCCACCAGCAGAAGTAGAGTTACACGCATTCCACTCATATCTCTTCCTGTAAGACAGTTTGTTTGGTTAATAAAGGCTGATGTTTGGAAATGCAATGTGAAATAACAAATCACAACTTTCAACAGAAACACATAAGAAAAAAAATCCTGATGATCCTATCATAGATGCAAAGAACAGTTTTAAAGTGAATGTCTTTTTCAGGGTAAAACTTGACACTTTGTGCATCCAGCTCTCTGAGTGCTTTAACAGTGGTGCATGGTTATTGTCTGAGATAAACTTACAAAATGAACCGTATGTTTTGCTTCTGTGCATCCTAATAGTGATGATGGAGTCATTCATACTTTTGCCAAGATGAAACAGCAGTGTATGGTTATTGTCTGAGATAAATTTATATAATGCAGTACAGTAGTCTAATTTCTATGACCCATATGTTTTGCTTCAGTGTATAGTAATAATAATCATTGACACTTTTGCCAAGATGAAACAGCAGTACGTACATAGTTATTGTCTGAGAAAAACTTACATAATGCAAAACAGGTACAATATATTCTGCTGCAAATCGTACAGGTCAATGACAAATTAGAACTAAAATAAGGTTAATATATAGGACTAACCCACGGATAGGTTATTTTTATTACTGTTTATTTTCTTACATTATTTTCATCAGTGGGTTCTGATATGATAATCATTTATTGTGCAAATTTTTCGTTTCTTAGATAATTATGTGCCTAGGCACGCACTAGTTTGTCTTCCGGGCAGTAATGAGGCCGCGCTTAGCTGAGGCATTTTTACTGCGACCGGGGCAGTTTGTTTTTCAGCATGTCGTGTGAAGGTTGTCGCCGGTCTTACATGGACATAATTTGCGAATTTAGGGATAAAGACAACGAGACCCTTCAATTGTTCAAAGACCACGACATTGTTCTTTTAAATAGGCTGTCCACACTGCAGGAATTCCAGTGCTTTCAGACTGGAAAGAAATTTGTTCATTATTTCCTCAACAACGTGGCTCGTCGTTTCCCGCCATCACAATAAATCATTCCGCCACTCGGGCTGCATAGCGCCGATGCGGCCGTATCATCACACGTCCAGAAAATGCCTCAAATTTCACCACCATATCATAGTAAGTTCTTTATGTTTAATATACTGGGAGGCTCCTAAGTTAGGTAAGGTTAGGAAGGTTTGTTTGGTTAGGTTGTTTAGGTCTGTTTTTCAGACCCACAAATGTTAAGTAATATTTATTTTTAAAAATAAAATTTTTTTAACACATTTGCACAAACTACAACTGTGTCCTCTATAAAATATCAGTGAAAATCCGGCGTTTTTATAATCGTTTTCAATAAATTTCAGCCGCAGGTTAGTCCTACATAATTACCTAAAATATTATTCCTCTTGGTAAATTTGTTTTTGATTGCCCCACTCAACCTAACCTAACCTAAAAGGTATATTTAAAAAAAAAGCAAAAGTTGTGGGGCAATTAAAAGCAAAAATATCTTCCTTTTAAATACAGATAAATATTTATATGTTTCGAGTGTTACATTATGTATACTGTCATAATAATACACTGAGAAATTTAAAACACTTTTGCCCCCCCCCCCTTCCCCCCTGCTCCTAACCGTCTATGAGCATTTATTTCCCTTCTACTCAGTTACATGTCTTACAAAACAAGAGCCTTATGTTATTATTAAACTCACAAGCAGGACTGTGTTTCTTATCCGTGTGGGTTCAGCCAAGGCCTTCTATACACAGGCCAGTGGCTCCAGCAGGCAGCTCCCATTACACCTTGTTATTTTTTTGTATAATGTTGCGTATACAAGTTAAGGTAACACATTGACTTTACTCATCACATGGGAACTCTCCTATGGTATTTTGGATGGTAATTGTATGTAAATAAATCTCAATCGTTTTAATAATTTTTTATATAATTTTTTTTACATAATCTATAATTTTATAACTGATAGGGAGTATCAGGTGCCGGGTGCCCCTGAAGTGTGTGCCACAACATTGTTATTGGCGGCGCCTTACACCACCCCCGGCCTCCAGTGTCAACAACAGGAGGTGTGAGGCGCCGGAGGAAAAGTCTGTTCCAGTAAAGTGTAAGTGGTTGCTCTCTGATCATGGTTAGGTGAGGTTGTAGAGGATATTACAGTTTATATAAAGTTAACTTCAGGTAAAATATTATTTCATTAAGCTTGTTACGTAGACTAACCGAGGCTTAGGAGAACTTGAATCAGGGTTTTTATGAGGTTAAGAAATAACTTACCTTTACTCTTCTTCATGACTGTACAGAAGTTTTGACGTTACTCGAGGACCCCACTCCCCATCCATAACTAGCAGTTTAAAAACAATAACGTGAAGAAAACTAGTTTCTTAACTCAAGAATATCCAAAACCAGATGAAGGAACTCCAACTTTCGTAAACTTTGTATTGGTGGTATTTCCTGGATACAATTTTGAGTAATAAGTTTTGACACCTGAGAAAGCCATATTTGTGCTTCAACTGTTGACAATGGCATCCCAGCGACTTACCGAATGCTTCCCCTTCAGCCTGCCAAACCTAATAAAATAATATACTGTACAGTACTTCCATCCTAGGAAGGTAAGTTTGGTTGATTCATATTATCTACGACAAATAATATAATGTAAATAACACAATATGGTATCCCCAGGAGCTAATGTATTGATGTAGATGTATGCTCATGACTAGTAAATTGACAAAATAGTACAGGATATTTTGAACATTGTAATCCCTCCACCTGGTTTTGGATGTTCTTGAGGTAAAATACTATACAGTTGCAGATAGCAAGTATATTGGCTGTAAATCTAACGACTGTCTCATCTAACAGATTTCAACATGCCGCCATCAGAAAAGAATAAAAAGAAGAAACGTCCATCATTTTTGGAGAAAATGAATCATCTGAGACAAGAATACTTCAGGAAAGACTTCATTATTGGCCTTATTGTAGAACCAAAATACTTTTGGCTATCAGCTATTGTGTTCCTGGTGGCAGAGATAGTTGTCAACATTATGATTATCCACAATGTGAAATGTAAGCATTAGGCTTGGGTATGAAGAGTGATGGCTTTTCTTTTAATTTATTAATATTATTAAGATTGAGTTCTTTTAAGTTATTTTAGATACTGTGGGAAATACTGTAAATAAAACTTTGTCTCTTTGAAAAGTCATAACTGATCCTACTATAAGATTCAAATTGCCATTCCCATGAATAAAACGTTTTACAATATGAATACTGTAGAGGTACTTTATAATGTATATGTTTATACTGTACAACAATAAATAGTACACTATAAGGAAAGTAATAAAATGCATATACAATGTATAAGTGCTATCATCATTGTTTTATGATGATACTTACACTGCATACTGTAGAGTATTTCAACTTCAAAACAAATGTGTCTGTTAAGTTGCGGACAGTACAGCAAGTTACAGCTTTGTATAGATTATCACACTAGTCATAAATGATAGTGATAATATTTAAGTTTGGGAGTATCCATGGCCCTCCTGCTCCCCCTCACATTACAACTGCCACTAGATTCTTTAATTACAAGGGAAAACAAGTGTAGGAAGTGACAGAAAATGGAGATGATAACAAATCCAAAGATACTATATATGCTCATATCTCCATGCAAACACACTACAGAGCAGTATACTGTACAGTACAGAAGTAGTCTAAACATTCACATTGATTTTTAGTGTTTCATATCACTTTATTGTGCACACTAAGGTGAATCATCAGGTTTGATAAAGTTACCCCCATGCTTATGAGTTATTTATTTATTTTATATTTTTTCAGATACAGAGATAGATTGGATAGCATATATGCAGGAGGTGGAGGGAGTGGTGAACGGCACGACGGACTACACTAAGCTACGGGGAGACACAGGACCCCTTGTTTACCCAGCTGGTAAAGTTAGACGCTCACTTATCTCTTCCAGTAAAGAGAGAATACGAGTGTGATGACTGGGTCTGTTAGAGAGGAAAGCCAAATGTACTGTACAGTGGATTAACAGAGTATTGAACATGTATGGGAAGTGTGAATCAAAGACTGTGGAAAGGTCCGGGTTGTCTCAGGAGTATGTGTATGCTGGAAATTGTCAAGAAAATGTGATAAAAGACAAACTGCCTAACTTTGGGAAATGACCAGGTAAAATAGAGGTGTATCAGGAGCCAGATATATGTTCAGTGTATATAGCAGAAGTCTTTTAGTATACTCGTTTAAGTACTGTACTCTATTGATAAATAATGAGTTCATTCATGGTCTGGTGCTAAATTACTTTTGTTTCACAGGTTTTGTGTACATGTTCTTGGGGTTATATCACCTGACTAGCAGAGGCACCAATATCCGCCTTGCACAGTACATTTTTGCTGCCTTCTATATCATCACTTTGATGCTGGTCTTCAGAATATTTCACAAGAGCAGAAAGGTATATTTTTAAACCTTACTCTACCTATCTTCATATTTTTACCTTGTAACAAAAATTGGCATTTATTATTAGCAACATTCATGAATCTGAGTATTGTTACACATTCCATACTTTTCATCCATAGCTGTTTGTTAATTTTTTTTGCTTACTGCCATATTTCTCACTCAGTTTTCAACATTTAGTCCATAACAATGTTTCCATGTTGCTGAACTGTATTCCACATAAACCAAATTTGCAAATTCTCCCAAAAAAAATTCTGGACAGCATTCAGTAATTTTTCACCTTACTAATAGCCAGTTTCACTCTTTCCTTCCTTGTTATTTTCCATCATTTACTTTGACATTCTTCATTACATCCTGTCCTAAACTGCCCCTCTCATCTGTTACAATTTTCTGTTGTTCAAAGTATTTTCCCCTTCTACTGTACTCTTTATATCCCCTTTTAACTGTACAATATAGCCTTTCTTTCATTATTAACTGCCATTTTCATATGTTTTCTTGATTTTTCTTGTCCTTGAAAATATGAGACACCCTTTCCCTCCCTCCTCATTTTTTAATTGCTTTTATTAATATTTTTAAAGTCTTTTATCATTCTTGTAACTTTCCTTTTAGTCTTATTTTACTCTTTCCTTCTTTTGTCACTCAATTGTAAATGGAACATAAGCCAGAACTTAAACTTAACATGAGATTTTACATCACTCAACTATGTAAAGCTTCTCTCATTTATTTTTCCACTTTGCAGCTCCCACCATATATTCTGATATTTTTGTGCTGCACCTCTTACCGGGTCCACTCCATTTTTGTGCTGCGCTTGTTTAATGACCCGGTGGCTATGATGTTTTTCTATGCTGCTATGAACTTCTTTATAGACAACCATTGGTCTCTGGGAAGCCTCTTTTACAGGTAAGGAAAGTCACGTTTGGAATTTTTAGGTACAGTATTGTGTGATATTTAATTTAATGTACCGGTAAATATTTTTTGTGTTAACTCGGAATAAAGGATACCGTGTTTTCTTTTTATGAGATAAAGCTTAAGATATAGTATATTTTAATGGCCACCCAGGATGCTCAGAGGTGCATTTTAGGCTCTACTGTACAATTTTCATAATTTTCAGTGTATTTATTATTATTATTACAGGACATATACCTGTATAGTGGTGTACTTTGTCTGAAAATTCCCCAGTTGACCCAAATTTTCCCTACCTGAAACGTATTTCCCAATAAGACATGGGTGCTTCCATTTGATGTTTTTTTCACAGTGTAGTCCCGCTATGAGTGATTGTCATATAACAAGTCTATCAGTGTGGAGAGTATTAAAAAAAAATAAATGATGGATTAATTAATATTGGCTCTTTGATATTCTTAATGTGTGGGAATAATTTACAACAAAAATGGAGGAGGTGCTGCATTCCGTGGTAGATTGATTGATTTGCATATTTAGAATTTTGATAATTTTCCATCTTACAACCTAGTTTGTTGCTTAAGAATTGTCTCAAAGTTATTTTTGCAATATGAAATTTTGTTTCTTTACAGTTTAGCAGTGTCTATTAAGATGAACATCTTACTTTTTGCCCCAGCCCTCTTGTTGGCTTACTTCCATTGCCTTGGTATAAAGGATACCATCAAGCAGCTCATTATCTGTGCAGGAACTCAGGTAAATTCTTAGTTTAAAGTTGTATTAAGGGGTCATATCAGGGATTCCAAGTTGCTATGACACTGTATTTGAAATTGTACTTATTTTAAAAGATGTAGAGAGTAAATGAAGAAAAACTGAAGTTTTATATTTGTTTTAGGTTTGATATCCAGAGTTGACATACAGTACACATTACTGTGAATCTTTCCAAGTGTTATACATTATAGTTGCATGTGGAGGAGGAGAGTAAGTGGGTGAACATATGCCTGTGTGTAAACACAAGATCCAAAGAATGGGAAGACTTATTTGACTGAAATTTAGCACATGGGTTGGGCATTGCCCGAGGAAGAATTATTTAAAATTTGGAGAAAGTCGACCTTTAACAACTTTCTTGGGCTATCCTTGATGGCATCAACTTACTGTTTGTCTTTGTATACCTACACTATTTATGTACTTGCTGAAACAATGTGAACTCATAGAGAAGACTGGCACCGGTGTGTGTTTTAAACAAAATATATAAATGTCTTTTCCACTGATTTTACTTCTTAAATTCTCCTACAGTTGGTGTTAGGGGCACCTTTCCTCATAAAAAATCCAATAGGATACTTAAAAATGTCTTTTGACATTGGCCGTGTATTCCTCTTTGAATGGACGGTCAACTGGAGATTCTTATCTGAGGAAACATTTGTAAATCCCTGGTTCCACTTACTCCTGTTAGCTGTACATGTGGCTCTTCTCGTCGTCTTTGCATTCACCCACTGGAACAGGTAATGAAAGTACAGTTTTGTGTATTTAGATGAACCTGTGTATAAGGGGCATCATAACTCTATTGTCAATCCCTTGGACTCCCCATCCAAAAAGTGCAAGTTGAGTCATGCACTGTCATGGGAATATTACAGTATATAGAGTCCATCACTTTGTCATTTTATGCCCAGGATAAATCAACCTGTTTTAAACTTGGTATTGTATATAGTTACTTCATTAAGCTGTGATAATCAGCATAATGGATGTATTACCTAGGATGTGTAAATTTCTGCAGTACCCCAACTAAAAAGTGTCCTTGTCCCATATAGTGGAAAGAAATTTGGTTTTGTAAGTGTATTACATTCAATTTTATTGGGTTCAGCACTATCACACACATATACTGTACTGTATATATTTTAAAGGATATACAAGTAGTAACATTTCATTGATATATTTTATTTAGGTACTTGGCCAGCTATGCCACACTACAGAATATTGGCATAGACTCAGAAATGGGGTGCCAGCTCTTCATACTACCACTGTTCGTGAGCAACTTGATAGGGATTGCAGCAAGTCGCTCCCTTCACTACCAGTTTTATATCTGGTACTTCCACACCCTCCCATACATGTTGTGGACTACACGTTTCAGTGTGACTTTTAGGTAAGATCTTTATTGTAATTTGTTGTAGATAATGCCAATGATGAGTTACCTGAAATGCATGGAAAAGAATTATGAAACACTCAGGCAATGCAAAAATCTTAACAACATTTGGATGGTCACTTTGTTAAATCTCCTCCAACAGTTTTTCATGTTAATTTCTGAATCATAGCACAATTTGGGGTGGATAATGGTGTGCTTATTTTAACATAGGCTCTGTCTATATTGCTTCACACAATACAACTTATTACAAACTAACACTAAAAGTTTGTGGGAGTGACTTTCAGTTGTTGCCAGATACATGAGGTCCTTCAGCCTCACATTCGTGTTAAACAGTGATCACAACAACAAGTTCCTGAACCAAGCTGATCTCTCTGATTATTTAATTTTACTTTACAATAATGTTAGGGAAGGTTTAAAGGATGTACTGTACTGTACAGTATTATTCTTGTTAAATTATTTATAATTTTATTTAACCCAAACTCTACTCTTGTAATAATGTTTAATGTTTAGATGGAAGGAAACTATGGTCAAGTATTAGTAAAAATTAATTTTATTATTAATAATTTTTCATTTCAGGCTTTTGATACTTGGTGTTACTGAGTTGTGTTGGAACACTTACCCTTCCACTTGGTGGAGCTCTGCACTGCTCCACTGCTGTCACCTCACCGTCCTGGCTGGCATCTACCACAACCGTCCTACAGATAAGCGCACAGAGAAACTTAAGAGAGCACTTGAGAAGACCAATTAATAAAGTTGTTGGTGCACATTTTGCTTCATTAATCTTCTTGAACTAAAATTTTACCTGTTGATTATTTGAAATACATTATTCAAGATTTAAATTTACTTTAATTATGAAATATTGATGAGTTATGACTGTACTCTGTTACAGTGTTTGGCTTTTATGAAAACATTCTTTTAAGTCTATCTCTCAGTCCATCCATTAGATTTGCCTAAGTAAAATACAGGTAAGTGCACTTATTTGAACATTTTAGCACAGTACAGTATTGGCAATGAGTAAATAATTTCCAGGGTGTTTGTTGATGCTTTTTTTTTTTTTTTTTTAAGTTGGTCAGATAAATAGGAGAGCCGGGGGAAAAACCAAGAACCAAATACTTTAGTAGAACAGAGTGAAAGAAGTTATGGTGGGGAGGACGTCACTTATAGGGGAATGTCAAGAGTTCTGAAGTCTTTACAGTGGTTCCTCGGTTAACGAACACAATTCGTTCCAGAGGGTCATTCATTAACCAAAAATTTTGTTAACCGAATCCATTGTTTCAATGGGATATTGGGTTCCAGCTCACCAAAAAGTACATACAAAGTAAAAAAAAATGCAGTAAAGTACACTTACTTTGAGGTGTGTATGTAGAAGGTTCCTGGTTGATGATAATGTTGGGAATTAGAAGTGGGGGTGGAGGAGAAGGGAGAAGAGAAGGAAGTGGGGATGGAGGAGAAATCACCTTTCAGGGGACCCATGCTTGATGCCGTCATTTCACCACTAAAATTTGAAGTTCACAAGGTGTAATTCAAGATTATTTTTTTCAATCAACACTGCACTGCACTATATATTATCAATATGTTAACTAAATTTCAGAATGACCAATAATTTCAATGTAAAAATGCAAAAATATTCAAGACACCAACAAAATAGTTGTTCACTCCACTGTCAACAAAGCCCAACTGACGCCCGGTGGCTGAGTCAAGTGGCTGATGGGCGCACAAAAAATTAGTTCCCTGTACTGTACTGCATATATTATCAATATGTTAAATAAATGTTAAAATGATCAATAATTTTAATATAAAAAATGCACAAATATTAAAGAGCAACTTTCTTGACATTTACTCCACTGGAAACGAATGTAAACATAGAACAGATTACTGAATTGGCAGACTAGCCCATCAGCTGATCAGCTGATGCTCACAACAAAACGTGTTGTTCGTAAGGATTTCATTAATCGAAGTTTTGTTTGTTAACCGAATTGAAGATCCTTATGGGAGGTAATTCGTTAACCGAAATTTCGTTAATCGAACCGTTCGTTAACCGAGGGACCACTGTACTGTACTGGCATGGAGAGAGTGAATTTATAACAGCGCTGTAATTGGGTCAAACTTATCCCTGGAATGACCCTCACTTACATTAATATTTTGGGTAGGTTGTTAAGGATAGGTTGAATTGAGGTTAGATTTTGTTAGCTTATTTATCCAGGGATTTGTGAATCCCTATTATATCTCAGTATTAATAATATTTACTTTTGAAGGCACATAGAAGAAATACTCCGATGGTGTATGTAAAAATCTTCTACTTTGAAAAGCAGTACTGTAGTGATATTAGACTTTATTTGTATTAGACTTATATTTAATAAGTTTCAAACAGTTGACTTTACAATGGCATCATATTTTCAGTTCATTTATATTATTTATTAAACTGGAGGATATTTGTGGAATATTTTATACATGTTGACCCAATCAATCAGTGAGGGAACGAAGCATCCAATGACACAGACTGAGGACATACTGTGGAATAGAATTGTATTATATGAGATGATAGTGTGACCAGGAGAGTATATGTGAGTTGAGTGAAGGTTCGCACACTCCCTGGGGGGAAATGAGAATACTACTGTGTGAGATTATTTTCATTTATCTGAGAACATTTTGAATATTGTAGAAAAAAAAAGATATGGAAGACCCTTTGTATAAGGATGATTCTAAAACTGGGCCTCTGTTTATTAGATATGGTGAAATTAGCTGTAGTTTTGAGACCTTGAAAGGTGTGCCTCATTTTCCTTTAGAAAAAAATGGAAAAGATGTGGAAACTGAAGTTACTGTACTTACTCTGTGGGAGCCTTGTATGTACTGTATAAATAATGGGAAAATTAACAAGTTAGGGGAAGGAGGTGGTGAAGGACAGTGTAGGGGAAGTGGACTCAAAAGAAATGTGGAAATTAATTTATGTTTAGTGTTTCTGAAAAACCACTGATGTGGAGCAAGAAATGCTCATACGACATACAGGGTATTAGACACAGAGGCCTTTATTCTCTTTGTAAATATTATTGCCTAGCATAGCTCTGTAATGTGTTCACTCCAGTTTTGTTGTTCCACTGTTAATTTGCTCAGAATATAAATTATACAGTGCTGGAGAATCCCCTGTCCAGACTTATGACATTTCAGGTGTGGAGGCGCCCGGTAATTTGAAGTACTGTACTATTGAACGAATAAAGTACTGTATTGTAAGCTGTAACCAGTACTGTATTGGCATTTATCATTATTAATAAGCTTTGGAAATTAACTCATAACTCATGCACATTGTGATATAACATATACTGTAGCTCCTTCACCCTGGCCACAGTTCCTGCATGACTCCATCCTATTCTACCCACTCACACATCTCATAGCTTGCTTGTATCCCACACACCCCAACAGCTGACACAAAATTTAGTACCTGTATGCTTGCAGTTGCAGGATATTGAAGATTCTTGCACTCAATAACATGCCAGACATATTAATATTATTGCAAACCACAAAAAATTAAGTTTCAACGTGTCACTTTTCCTTAAGTGTCATATCTATATTTTAAGTCCATTCATACATACAGGGACCATGAATGTTCAGGTGACAAAGGTAAGAAGTTGTTAAGCTCGGTGGTGGTAGTTGCTGTGTGAGGGATCTTAAGTTTTAGTACTGTGGTTTATCGAACCAATATGTTTTTACAAGTGAAATATTTATCCTTCATTCCTTTTACTTCTCTACCACTTAGGGGTATCATGTAGCAAGATTAATTAGAAATGTTGTTATAATATAAACTGAAGCATTATGATAGAGGTTTGATGATCATCTTGAAGGAGTAATAAGCTGTTCTTTCCTCTGTTCTTCATATACTGTACTAACATATCATGATTGCTTGATCTTTGCTCACCTTACATCCCAAACACAATATATGATCAGTGTTCTGTTCACTGATAAGGTAAACTAAAGAAAAACAATAAACAGGGACCAACTATTTGTATTTTATTATTTAACATCACTTCTAGTATTACATCATTGTAGTAAACAGTTTAGACATTTTTGTAATTTATTAAACAGTACTGTATGTATTTTTGTGCTGGTAGTTGTTGCCTTTGCTGATCATCTACATCACCATTGTGTTTAATATTGTATGAGTATACACCCACCTCTCGTTTTACACGGGGGTTATGTTCTTGAAAACCACGGCTTAATTCAAAAATGCGTAAATTAAACAAAATTTTTCCATAAGAATTACATGTAAATGGTACAGGTTAGGGGAACCATCATATACCGTACCGTACAAGGTACGAACGGTGCTCTCACTTAAACCAATCACGCTGTTTTAGGCCATTTAACTGCTGAGTCTGTCTAGGTTAATGAGGCTTGGAACATTTATATTATAGAGGGTTTTTGGTAACGAAACCCAATTGTCTGTTATCCTTTTATTTAGGAACTATCGGGGATACAGTTCCTAAATGTAGATCACTGTAACTAGTATGAGTGTTTAGAGACGGACGGAGGCTATGTAAAATAGACCTTCTAAATACGTCCGATCTGTGTGAGGCGTTGAATAACAATGCTGCAGGGCGCCGGCCTTTTAAATGCTGAACTAAACAGTCACTGGGCCGCGCCTCAAGGAACCTGCCATTCACGTGATATGATCGTGTCACCTCATAGTCAGTGGAAAGTATATAAATCAAATGTAATTAACCCATTTATCTAATGCTTCTGCCTATGAGACAGGGGCTATTACATTGCGATCAACCTCCGACACACACTCTCCTCTCTGAAGGCGGATGATCACATTTAATTTCACGTCTATTGCGATTGTTTTTCGTGCCTTTTTAGCTTTAGGCGCCTTAGAGGAGGCAGATGGACGTTTTCCAGACATGCTCAATGGAGGAAACAGCGTTTAACACTAAAAAGGTGCGTGATAAACACACAATGCAAATGAGAGCACAGAGAAAAAGTAGTGCTGGTGTGAACTGAGAAAGTGATACATGGGAAGCTTGCTGGACGTCGTCACAGTTGTACAGAATACTTCATTATCTTCATCATTTGTAGTACTATAATAATCTTTATTATTACATTATTTTACTAATAATTATAATTATTAATAACAATATAAAAATCGTTGATGTTGATATGACTGCGACTTTATAGTAATAACTTACAAGCATCTCACCAGGCATCACACCCGACTCCACTGACAGGCGACCAGGCGAATACGCACGGCAAATTTAAACTGCCTTGAGCGCGCTATTTAAAAAATGGGTGCGTGTAAATTAACTTTTGGTATTAATTGAACAATCGCTTTATTCCAAAAACGCTTAAAATGTGCGTTTCCTGTACAGCTCCTCCCCGACTTAAGACCACCCGCATTTACAACCTGCCTCGGTCGTACCAAAATTTTTTCAAATTACGTATTTTCGAGTCCCAACTTCAGTACACAGACCAAATTTTCGTTTGTAATTCACTTTAAAATGGCTGGCAAGCTTAAAAGTGAGAGTTTTGTGGTGCTGAGAAGAAAAAGAGACACCCATTTTAGATTTTTTGGGTAACCCCGGTATTATTTAAGCATTTTCGAATTACGACCATTTCAACTTACGACCTGGATTTGGGTCCCTAACCCCGTCGTAAGTCAGGGAGGAGCTGTATTCTCATGGCATATTTCACGACTTGGATGACTGTTAAAAATCTAGTATATTTTCTGTACGAGTACTGTATAATTTATCTAAGAATAAACAGTTTACCTCCCTATTGCACTTATTGCAGCCATCAACCAGAGAAATGGACACTTAGAATAAAGTTTATTAATAAAAGTAGGAAGCTAACGACTTGTGATGTCACACTAGCAGGGAGATTATATTAGATTTCAGGCATCAATCCTCACTTTCCTGTGTACTTCTCACTTCTTACTGAGGGTAGGGAGTGTATCTGAGTCAGCTGGTAATGAAATTGGATTTAAGGAGCAGTCCTCCTTATACTGTACCATATAGCCTAATTTGCTATGCCAGAAAATGAGATGTGGTGGTAATATGAGTTAAGCCAACTGCACAAGAGAGAGGG